ACACAAATCAAGTATACATTACTAAACAAATTAACTCATAATCATAAGTTATATCTCAAGCTGTTGAAGAAATTTACATCAACTAAACAAAGGGTAGAGTAGTCCATTTTTGCATTTTGCCAACCAAAATGTAAACAGACTTTATCTATATAACATTACTGGTAGTTTTTTATGTTTTTTTTTCTTTTTGGTTCCTTTTAGTTCAACAACTTCATACTAATATAAGATGGACAAGAGTTGGACTAAAATCACAAATAAGGTGGATCCAAATTTCATGAAGGGGCAATTGCTTTTGTGGAGATGGCTAATGTTTGTGTTGATAGTGAAGGTCATACACACTATCCCTGTAAAAGATGTCTAAATGTCAGAAAGCATGCACCTGATGTACTTTGTAATCACATCATACATCATGGCTTTCAACAACCATACAAAATATGGACATTTCACAGGGAAAGTCGCCAAGCAAATGAAAAAAACAACGAGCATGATGAAAGTGATAATGAATTAGATGATGGTGTCGATGCTTTACTTGGTGATGCGTTTCATGTGGGAGCTGAAACTAAAGGAGTAGATGATAACGATGAGGCCGAGTCTTATAATCGATCTAGTAATCAAAATGTAGAAAAGTTATTCGCTGATATGGAGAAACCTTTATTTCCAGGATGTAAAACTTTATCTGTACTAGGATTTATATTACGATTGATGCATGTGAAGGTAACCTGTAAAATGACAAATGTGTCCATGGATATGATACTAAAGTTATTGAGTGAGGCATTCAAGGACAAAATAATCCCTAAAACCCACTATGAGGCAAAAAAAATATTTGCGTACTCTTGGACTTGGATACGAATCAATACATGCTTGTAAGAATGATTGTGCATTGTTTTGGAAGGAAAATTCGGAATTACAATCATGTCCTGTTTGTGGTGCTAGTCGTTGGATAGATGATAGAATGCATAAAAGGAAGATACCAACCAAAGTCTTGCGTTACTTTCCCATCACAAGTAGACTTAAGCGACTATATGCCTCTAGGTATACTGCAAAGTACATGTAGTGGCACGCTTACGACAAGTCTAAAGAAGATGGAGTTCTTAGATATCCAGCAGATGGAAAAGCATGGAAGCACTTTGATACAATCTACCCTGATTTTGCCAAAAAACCTAGAAATGTACGCTTAGGTCTTGCGAGAGATGGTTTCAAACCTTTTGGGACGATGAGTACTTCATATAGTATGTCGCCTGTTGTGCTTATATTGTACAATCTGCCTCCTTAGAAGTTAATGATTGATGCTTCATTTATGATGGCATTGTTGATTCCTAAGAAAGATTCAACAGGAAAGGATATTGATGTATATTTACGTCCACTGGTATATGAGTTGAAATTTCTATCGGAGAAGGGCATTGAAACATGCGATTCTGGATCAGGGCGTACATTCAACATGCGTGCAGCACTTATGTGGACAATAAATGATTTTCATGTGTATGGTTACTTGTCTAGATGGAGCATAAGTGGGTATATGGCTTGCCCAACATGCAACGAAGATGCATCTAGTGTTCGTATAAGAAAGAAAATAGCATACGTAGGTCATAGTCGATTTCTTCCCCCTGATCATCCGTGGAGGAATGCACGAGATTTTAATCGGAAAAAAGAGTCTAGGATTCCACCCAAACATATCAGTGGAGAAGATTGCTTGCGCCAATTAGAAAATGTCCCTCACTTTCCACATGGAAAAAAACAGTCTCACATCGGCCAAAAACGTAGAAGGAGCGAACGCGAGTTAAATTGGTAAAAAAAAAAAGGCATATTCTTTGAACTACCATACTGCTGTAAGTTGTTAATGCGTCATAACATTGATGTCATGCATGTTATAAAAAATGTGGGTGAGAACTTCTTGGGAACTTTATTAAACATAGAAAAGAGGACAAAAGACACTGACCTAGCTCCCCGAGATCTTCAAGATATGAAAATACGCAAGAATCTTTACTTGGTGAAGAAAAATTATCATTGGCTTAAACCCCCTGCTCCATATGTCTTAACCCCATTAGAGAGGAAATAATTTTGCTCTCTAGTTAAGTCTGTGCGTTTTCCTGATGGATATACCGCAAACTTGGGTAAAAATGTTATTCTCGAGCAAAGTAAGATATATGGACTTCAATCACATGATTATCATGTCTTCATGTTACATATACTCCCTATTGCTATTCGTGGGCTTTTGGATAAACGTATACGTGATACATTGACAGAGTTGTCTCAGTTTTTCAAGATTCTAACTTCAGCCACATTACATGTTAGAGACTTGGAAACTTTGCAAAAAGAGATAGTTAAGATTCTTTGCAAGCTTGAACGCATATTTCCTCCCTCATTTTTTACAGTTATGATGCACTTGTGCGTTCATCTACCTCAAAAGGCTATTTTAGGAGGACCTGTACAATCAAGATGGATGTATCCCATTGAAAGGTATCTCGGCCATTTAAAGAAATATGTTAGAAACAAAGCAAGACCCGAAGGTTCAATTGCAGAAGGTTATGTTGTTAAAGAAGCCTTGATATTTTGTTCACACTATTTACGTGCTGTTGATTCGAGATTAGATAAGCGAGGTAGATATGACGATGAAACTACCAGTGATGTTCGAGACATTAAATTAGATATTTTCAGATTAAATGGCCGAGGAATTGGGAAGCGAGAAACTGTTAGGCTTTCAAACATTTCAATAAAGAAAGCACAGTGGTTTATCTTAACTAATTGTTCACAAGTTGAACCGTACCTGAAGTAAGTACATTTTCTCTTTCATAGTGAATTGACTTTTTTGTATCTCAAGGTATTTAAATCTTACTTACACTTGACAGTGAGCACTTGAATTTCTTGAAAAAAAAAACATCAAAGATCCCTAGATTTTGGTGAGTTACAACAATCGACATTTCCATCTTGGTTTTCATCACGGGTAATGTTACTATAACATAATTTATATCATTTTTTCATGTCTGAACAATGAACCTACCGATACTTTTTTGGAAATGGTGAATAGATAGAAACAATGTATGAGCAAAATTCATCGGCAATCAACGAAGAGTTATATGCACTATCTCGTGGTCTAGATAATCGAGTTATATCACATAATGGATACATAGTAAATGGAGTTAAATTTCTTGTTATGTCACAAGATGACCATAGGAGGACTCAAAATTGCGGAGTCACACCTGTAGGAATGCACATTGGTGTTGAAGAAGATTATTATGTTGATGAAGTCCTTGAATTTTCATTCATAAAAGGATATCGAGTTGTTTTATTTAAATGCATTTGGTTTGATACCGACCGTAAAAGGAACCACATGATGTTTGAACCTCATTTCATATCTATAGATACAACCAAAAAAGCTTATGACGAAGATCCTTTTGTGTTGGTAAATCAAGCAAAACAAGTTTTCTATATAAACGATCCCAAGCGTGACGCGGGATGGAAAATCATAGAAAGAAGCACACATAGGCATTTATGGGATCTTCCAGATAATGAGGATGTACAATATATGCTCGAATATGTAGGAACATCGTCGGACACAGCCCCCTTTCAAGCATCAGATTGTGAAAATTTCGAGTTTCATGTAGAAGATAGTGAAGAAGAGTTTGCGGAAATTGTTGATGTTGATGCTTTTGAAGATGATTTAGATGATTTTATTGATTATCATACTATCCCCAAAGAAATTAATGAGGAATTACCTGAAGATTTAGAAGGTTTAGATGATAGCAATGAAACAAATGTAGCCCTATTTGATGAGTCAGACGATGAATATGAATAGTTGTAATCTTTTTCTACTTTGTTTGTGTGTTTTGTAATTTGTTACATTTTTAAAACTTATTTATTATGATTATGGATAATTGTACTATATTTCTACTTCATTGGTGTGTTTTTAATTTTTCAATATTTAAAACTTTTAGACGATGATTATAAGTAATTGTACTCTTGACTAACTTGTCTATAAATAACGTCCTTTGCAGATAGAATGTGGATATTTCTGGTGATGATGACCATTGTTAATCTCGGAGGTACTAAGCATGTAAGGAAAGAACCTCGACAAATTCAGTCACATCATGAGTTGAAGGAAGTGAAGGTGAACTCAATCCAAAATTTTGTATGCTTCGTCGACGTAAACGTGCTATGGCATCCGTTGATGCAACAGGTAAACATTATATGTTTTTACTATTTACTAAAAGGAGTTAAAGAAAATTTTAAATGTAATGGATTTCGGATTTTGTGTTTGACCTAATTTGTGTTTTTAACTTTAAATCTAAAATTTTTTACAATCTACCTTTTACAACCTTATAAACAACTTACACAATGTGTGGGTGTAATTTGGTTGGGTAATTCTATTTTCTGGTTATTCGGGTTCGGCAAATTACTTTCTAATTTCTGTAGGAGGAAGTGGACCAAGAAAAAACCCTCAATCAACATCAACGTTGCATGTTGGTGAAGGAACTATCTCTAACACAACTGAACCAGTAGTTTGCCAAAATACAGATTCTTTTCCCTAATCGGGCACTACAAGTAAAGATCATCAAACTATGCATATACACCCATGCTTAACACAATTTAGTGAAGATAGATTACAATATCATTTTCTTTTTTATTTTATATAAGCCACTGCTATGTTTACTTTTGCATCTGTTGGAATAATCTATGATGTTTTAGTTAAGTTTTATTCATGTTTTTCTCAAAAAAGCTTGGAGTACAAGAAAATTTTCCTAGAAATTTTTTTCCCCTGCTTTGTTCTTCACCTGTTTCGCCTCTGTATCTTGTTTTTATGTATTCGGCCTGCTGTGATTTCTGTGTTTTTTTCTTTCTTGTGATAATCTTTTAATTAAGTGAATTAATTCCCCGAAATCTTTTTATTTTATTTTTTATACAACATTTATATTTTAGTGCACCCTTAGTTGGACCACTCAAACAATGTTTAGTGTATTTGTAATACATGTTTAGTAGACCATCCACGTTTTTTAACTACACTTATGCTTATCTATTTACACGCTTATGTGACTACAACAACAGGAGGGAGTGGTTCTAGAGAAAATAATCAACAGGCTTCATTAGCCATAGAGGAAGTGGTTCCAAGTAAATAGTAGACAATTTATTCTTTTATTTATGATATTACAAATTATGCATAAGATGATGTATCATTTCTGTCGTGTAGATCAACCACAGAGGCGGAGGCGATGCCCTAATATTAATAAAAAGGCTTCACATATTTTGGAAAATCAACCTGATGCTCGAATTACATTGACAAGAGAAACATATACAAAGGAATTCATTGGGGATTCAACATTATCTTTTGCAACGGAGGTTGGAATTGTGATGCGGAACTTTAGTCAAATGGAATTCCATACATGGGAGAAAGTAGCAAAAGAAAATAAAGAAGAAATGATTAACAGATTACGTGTAACTTATATATCATTTTCCTCAATGTATTCATTTTTTGTCAAAATTTCAACTTCATAAATAGAAGTAATTTATTACTAAAATTTTATTAAAAACGTTCAACTTTAATTTATGTATTAAATGTAGGAAAAAATTGAATTACCGCAGGAAGATAAAGTTCAGATGGAGTATGTAGATAAACAAATGCGGAGGCAATGGAAACGCACACAAAATATTTTCAAAGATTATTGGAAGAAAAATGGAGGAATGACAGATCCACAATTAGCAAGATCTAAAATGAAGCCAGATTGTCGTAGCGAAGAAGATTGGGGTTATTTGTGTGATTATTGGGAATCGGTTAAAGAAGGTAATTATTAAATTCTATAAACCTTATAATTTCATCTTAGAATTCTTATTCTATATTGTAGTATTATAAAACAAGTGCTGCCAACTACACAAAAATATACACCTGCAACAAAATTCTCTCAATCTTGCACATATACACATTTTATGTAATTAACGCTTATTTATATATTATTAACCACGTATAGTTCAAATTTTGTAGCAATATGCTGAACAAATGAAACATAATCGGGTAAAACTTCTTATTCCAAGTAGAGGAGGCTCACGATCGATAGCAAATCAAAATTTTGCAATTGTAAACTATCAAATTAATTCATATTTGACTTAATATAATCATGACAAATTAATTTTTACATTTACTTATATTAATCTTTATTATTGCAGACAAATAAAGAGACTAAGATGCCCCCCCCAGCCCAATCGAATTATATCATAAGTTGCATTTTCATCCTATAAAGGAATGGATAAATGATGAGTCACGCATTCAATACGTAAGAATGATTTCTTGAATAATATTGATTTTTAGTTATAATATATTGATATTAGTGTTATAAGTTATTATAATATGTTTTTATGTTGTATTAGTGTTATAAGTTATTATAAGTAGTTTCGGCGGGAACAAGCATTACTCAAGAAATGGAATACGACATAGAGAAAAAAGTCATTAAAATTGTTTGTGCCAAACATTAAACATTATTTTCTGGATGGGAAGCTTCAAGGGGACCTATTATGAGGAAAAAAGATATACATCTCTTATGAACCGCAAAAACATCTCAATCAACCTCAAAAGACGAAGAAGATATGAAAAGTAAGATTGTTACACTTGAGGAGGAGGTTCGAATAAACGAACAGAAAGTCAAAGAAAGTGAGGAAAAATGTGAAAAAATGTTCTAGTTTATTATCTCAAAGTTACCGAATTCTCAAAACATATTATATCCACACAATGAAGATGAAGCTCGTGCGTACGATGACATAACAAATCTATCATAGCAAGCGTAGCATTCGTGACCGTTCATTAAAATTTGGAACTTCTTTCACGTATGGTTTAGTTATTTACTAGTTTCTTAGACATTTTTGTTTGTTTTTTTAAATTTGGATATGATGTCTAAATTACGGTTTATTTATCTAGTACTAGTTCATTTGGTGTATTAACAAGCGCATTGTTTATATTAGTCACTATAAATGTTATTTTAAGTCTAAACTTTGGTTTGAAACTATAGCAGGTTGGGAACCGAATGACATTATATTTGATACTAATATTCGGTCACTGGAAAATCAGGTTAGGGAGCAAATGGCATCGTATCTGAGACTGATATTCAGTCACTAAAAATCCAGGTTAGGGCTAAATGAAATTCTATCTAAGACTGACATTCAGTTACTGAAAAATCTGGTTAGGGGCTAAATGAAAATGTATCTAAGACTGACATTCAGTAACTAAAAAATCGGGTTAGGGACTGAATGAAAGTGTATATGAGACTGATATTTAGTTAATAAATATGAGGTTAGAGATAGAAGTTGATAATATTTAAGACTGATATTCAGTCTTAAATAGATACTATCAGAGACTGATATGACTTGAGTAAGGATTTCAATGAAGAGTATTGAAGACTGAATGATATAGTATTTAAGACTGATTTTTAGTCCCCAAAGGTTATTATCAGGGACTGATCTTATATGAAATCGTGGATTTAAAGAAAACATATTTAAGACTAAATTTGATACTAACAAGGACTGATTATCTGTCTTTGATACTTTTACATATTAAGGACTGATTTTCAGTCCCAAATACTAAAAAAAACACTATCTAGGACTAGGTTTTTGGGACTAGCTTAGGACTAGCGAAATCAGTCCCCGATACTCATTAGAGACTGATTATTAACCATCAAAGACTGAATATGTCAGTCTCTGATACCTCTTTTTCTTGTAGTGTAATTCATTACTTATGTTACTAAGTCCCAACTGTTCAGAATAAACGCCAAATCTCACAATTCAAACTATGAAGAGGGACGTTGTAATCATAATCAAATTTAAGAATGCAATTTACATAATTGCTATCTCCTTAAAATCTCTCTTAGTGAAAGCATTTCCTCACAATCATTTTCATGAAGGAGAGAAACCTTATGAAACTTAGATTTTATGGTGTATGTGTTCCTATCCATGTGAATTTGTCATAACCATAATTGTAAGATAACGTGACAAATCCAAACTCATATGGACAGAACTTGTTCTTACTTGATTTCTTGCCATCAAGGGTCCCACCAATGCTTCCAAGTTATTTAGCAGCTCACCTATAGTAGTCAATGTACTTTCATTGAACAAGGTTCTTGCCTTGATGCAGTCCATTGAGAGCTCGTAGAACTCATATGCATAATCAACTCAACTGGATTGGTACAAAAACAAGAATATGTCAACACGATAGGTTACAAACCTCAAGTCGTGTGCTAGTGTTCAATAACACGTCTTGATTAATTCTTGAAACTTTTTCAAGATCTTTAAGACTCCTAATGACCGCTTGACATATAAGATTCTCTTGTCAAGAAACATTAATTAACAAACAAATTCAAGAGTTAGTGCGGATTCTTATCAAGACAAGCACTACACACAATTGGTATTAGTTGGTCTTTGTCTTATCCAAGACATCACAATTTACCAATTTCAAACGTGCATGAGTAAGAAAAAAAAATTTCTACTTCACATTTGACGAGTGTTTTAGAACTTCTTAAGATGTGTCACTCAATTCACAATCTTGGAGTATGAGTCTAAGACTTGATTTTGTAACGAAGTATGAGTCATCATTTTTTATTTATCCATTTCTACAATTTTCGATTCGTCTTCTTAGCCATACTAGTGCACTAAGATGTTCTCAACGGATTAATTGTTATATGGTTTCATAATCAACCAGACGATCATAAAACACGATACAAAAGTACTCTCCATTCTTCTTAGATTGGAGAAACTTTTATCTTTCTGCCTAATTGATTCTTCTTATTGATTCTGCCCTACGTTGAAACTTTTCAATAATTCAGAATGACACTTAATCTTGTAACCATAACCACATTTACTAGACTTTTAGTAAATCAGGGTGAATAATCTTATTGTTCTTTGCGGTGGACTTGACTAGTGCACAACATTATGTACCATTTCTCCTAGTCCTTCAACTAGAAATACACAAATGTCAATTTTTCATATATCCCATTGTAAGGAAATATATAAATAAGACAAAAAAAATTGTTTTATTTATAAAAGGTGTGGAAAAACTTGTCCTTACAATGCAAATCAAGTGAAAAATACGCTATTAAATATTCCTAAGCAATCTATCATAACTCTAAAAGTAGCAGGTCCAAAAATACGATCATTGAATCATGCGATCGAAATCCATTTCTTCACGATCATAGTCAACTCACTTCTTCCTTTAAGCTTCCTCTATTTCCTTCAATCATACGAAACACCAAATGTAATCTTATCACATCATGTATTTAGAATTCAAAAAATAGGAACTTACAGAGTTAGTTAATGGATTTTACCTTAAGTAGAGCTATACGTCTTGACTCTCCCATCTCTTAGATCTCTCAGGTAGATAGGGCAGCTTTGTCTTCAATGCCCCTTATCTTGGCAATAAAAACAAAGAGACTCTTTTGGAACAACACACAGAACTACCTCAGACTTTTCCTTTCTCTTATGGTCAAACTTTTCGTCCATGGTATGCCTTTCATTTCCATTTCCTATGTCCATGGAGGTTTGGAAGGTAAATCTACCAATCAACTTTGCTTCTCCAATGCGCCAAATCATTGTTGATTCAGCATCAACAAGCAAATAGGTGAGATTAATGAGGGTTACATCATGGTCCATCATATAGAAATCTCTTACAAACTCACTATATGAGTCTGGAAGTGATTGAAGAACCCAATCAACAGCCAACTTCTCATAGACAATGACTCCTAACATTCTTAACCGGTCAATGTGTGACTTCATCTTTAAGACGTGTATACACACTGACTTTCCTTCTTCATGTTTACTTTCCAAAAGGGCTTGAGAGAGCTTGAACTTTTCAAGCCTTCAAACTTGTGGGTCAAGGAGAACAATAGGAGGAGGTGGAGGAAGTGAAGAATGATCTCTTGTTCCTCGATTGAATCGTGGAATATCATCTTCATGTAGAAAGCTTGTTCCAAGGGATTTGGGAAGACTATAGTTGTCGTACATTGACATATACAAAACGGGAGAAAATTCAAGTTAGTTGATTGATTGTGTCCTTAATAAAACACCCAAATGAGATATTAAGGCTTGGACCCAACACAATATTCGATAATTTGGTAGAGGGATGTCGTAATCCGAATTGCAGAACATTTGAAGGTAAGTGAATGACGTTTCGCTAATTTTCCACCATGAAAAACGAAAAAAAGATTAATTTTTAAATGTATTGAAAGCTCCTAGATCCTTTGATATTCCTTGAAATTTTCAACGGCATGTTTAAATCTCGATATTCCGCTCGTTTTGTGACTAGGATGCCGAGGATCACAAAACAAGGTGGAACAAGATTGCAAATATACATGGTGCCCCCAATATTACAGTCACCTAATCGATGTGCCAGTTAACAACATACACTTCATCGATCTATGAAAAACATCGAGTCACCCTTTGTCACCTTTGCTTAGAGCCCATTTAGTGTGCCAGTTAACTACACATGCTCCACTAACATCTTAGCAAGGGTACAAAGTGTAATTTCATGGAATTGCATCAAATTCACCTTTGCCTAAAGTAACTAAGATTGGGAATTTTGTAAAAACATTTAGTTACTTTATAAGTTATTATACTTTCAATGGAAAGGGTTTGCCCTATCCTAGCCGTTCGGCTAACGACCCACCACCAATCAAGGAAGCGGTGGGTGAGAATGGACACTCGTTAAACGACTATTTTATAGGGCATAACCATATACCCCCTTATAGATCAACTGCGTGAATGAAGCCTACTAACGGTAAGACTAGCATTTAAGTTATACATATATACTGTTAGACTTT